TTCTGCTCAACAATCAGTCACAACTCATATATGACAGTGCTCATGGCAGATGCCTAAGTTATGTGTTGTGCATATAAGGAAGCAGGATGCGTGTAAAGCACACATAAAATTTTCAGAATAGGAGAGGGTAAGTTATTGCTGCTGCTCAATTTTTTGCTGTATGTACTGCATAATGGAAATAGAAAAGTTAGCTTTTAGAGTTTTTCCACATAGTTCTTCACTTTTAGTGCACCAGAGCAAAGTGGAAAGATGTGAATATCAACCCATGCAGTTAGTTTCCAACTTCTGCTTCATGATTTATAAGTTCATGTCTAACATATTTATTGGTTGGAAATCTTGGTGGCTGTTGTATGGAACCCTCATGGGGAAAGGGCACTTTCTTCTTTAAGCCACGTTGACCTTCTCATTTAACAGTTTGAAGGCATGCAGGACTGTTTTCTTTGTTCTTGCAAAATGCACACAAACGCACACACAAACACAAATGCTCAGGCTTTTTCACCATCTCAGTTGCAGAGTCTATGTATTGTGCAAATACACACACAAAAAAATGAAGCGATCTAGATGGAAGCTCCTCTTTCACCCCAGTGTTGTAAGTGCTGCTGTGAGGGAAAGAGGGGGGAGGGACATGCCGTTTGAACTCCTAGTTTATTATCTGGCAACCGTAGCTGTAAAATAAGGGGGAAAAGGCATCTTTCTCCAAGTTCATATTTTTGCTCAAGACATTCTAGCTATTCTAAGAAGTGCTGTTACCATGCTGACTAGGTTACACTAGTGCATAGGGAAACACTGAAGTTTCTTGTATACAAGAGTATAAAGCAGGGGTATGTATGCAGCACTTTTTGGATATTTTGTACTACATAGCTCCAGCTGATGAGAAGAACCATGGAATTTGTTCCAAACATCTGGAGGGCAGTAAGCTCCCTCTCTTTGCAGAATATAGTCTCATGTGCCAGGAGCTATCCTATGCTGATGAGTACTATTTTCCATCTAGCAACATACGGGCTTAGCTGAATGTTCACATTTGCTGTACTGACATAAACCTAACAGGGGAATATGTGTCTTCTCCCCTCACCTCTTTTATGACATGGGTTAGCAGGGTCTCTTCTTAACTTTTACGGATGGCGATTAGGGATGCAGAGTGATATCATTAGTAGGTCAGGATGGCTTTTTAGCAAAAATGTTTGGGAATATCTTTATTTTTAGTGATTATATGCCTATTTTACAGTTAATATAGTTTTCATATTTTCCCATGTCAAAATGATGGGAAGTAGTCCAATTTGAATTTTCACAGCCAGAGTGATCTCTGAGGCTCAGAAATGTCCTCTGAATTTAGTATCGCAATATTAATATGCTCTAGAATTCTATTGGACTTTACCACTGAAAGATTTTCTTTGATCAACTCCTGGTTTCTTATTGTTAGTGTTAATAAAATTACTTAATACTTCTCACTACCCATTACTAATGTATTTGTCCATTTACCATCAGTGCCCTGGGATATTGTGGAAAAAAAAAAGAGGTAGAAACCTTATGTATATTATCTTCAGGTGTACAAGTAAAGGTGGGATATCAATCAGTCAAATAAATAACATGTCTAAATTGTTCATAGTTCAATTAAGAAAGTGAACTCTCATTAATTGAAGAATGGTAATATATTAAAAGAGGCTACTGAGCAGTTCTGATTTTCTTTTTTCACTTTCATCAACAGGTTTGTCCCTGACAGAAGCAAAAAAGTTAAGCTCCTATTTCCATTTTACTGAGCCTGTAAAATTGAAGAATAAAACTCTGCTGGAAAAAGCTGACTTGGATCCAGCCATTGACTTTTTGGATTCTCTTGAACATGATATCCCTAAAGGTAGGAAAAAGTACTATCCCACATGCAAAATGAAAAAGGCAGAGGGTGGCATTTAGGGCCTAGTAAAGAAGAAGTATTTGGCTTTTGTTGTGTAAAAGAAACAATTGTTAATTTCATATGTTTCACTCAGCATGTTTTAACCATTCCGCTTTTGGATTAACCTTCATTTCTCTTATCCTTAAACTGAAATTGGGAAAGAATGCATAAGATGATAGAGGTGCATATAAATGAATTAATTCTTTGACTCGAGCTTAATTGAGTGGGAATTTGTGTATAATGTTTCCATTTTTCCATCGAACCGAGCAATGGTAACCGCCTGCACCAGGGAATACACCAGGGCACTTAGGGCAGCAAAAAGATCTCATAT